AGAGGCAAGGGCGGGAAGGGGCTCGGCAAAGGGGGCGCCAAGCGCCACCGCAAGGTGCTGCGCGACAACATCCAGGGCATCACCAAGCCGGCCATCCGCCGCCTGGCTCGGCGTGGCGGCGTGAAGCGTATCTCGGGGCTCATCTACGAGGAGACGCGCGGCGTGCTGAAGGTGTTCCTGGAGAACGTGATCCGCGACGCCGTCACCTACACCGAGCACGCCAAGAGGAAGACGGTGACGGCCATGGACGTGGTGTACGCCCTTAAGCGCCAGGGACGCACCCTCTACGGCTTTGGTGGTTAAACTCCGGTGCTCTCAAACCTTACATTGTTAAAATACCAAGGCTCTTTTCAGAGCCACCCACAAATCTCATAATACGAGCTGTGAATTACTGAACTTAATTTTTGGAAAAAAAATTAACACGTTCTTAATGTGAAACATTTCTAAATCACTAATAAAATTTAGAAGGTGCTACAAAGTAAGCCATATCTAGATGTCCTGAGAAAAACAACTGCAGAAATCAAGCTTTTTAAATAGTTTCATGATTGAGCATAAACTGATGGCAGCTTTTACATATACTGATGTTTTGCTAGTGAAGGCAGTTATTGCCATCACAATAGGTACAAAGCAGCACGATTGTGTAGATGCGATGCCTAAATTGTGACAGTTATAAGACAGAAGTGTTTAATTATGTTAGTATTTTTTCTCCAATAGGAATGGAACAATAACAATCCCTTAATCTGCATAAAGCCCTTATAAATGGGGGGGCAAGTGCCATTTTCAATGTTGTTGAGGTACAGTAAAAATCTTCAAAAGAAACTTTTAAGGATGCATGCCTGAGCCGGCAAAATCTGCTCCAGCACCGAAGAAGAAAGCCGTCACCAAGACACAGAAGGGTGACAAAAAACATAGAAAGTCTAGGAAGGAGAGCTACTCGATCTACATGTACAAGGTGCTGAAGCAGGTGCACCCCGACATGGGCATCTCGTCCAAGGCCATGGGCATCATGAACTCGTTTGTCAACGACATCTTCGAGCGCATCGCCGGCGAGGCCTCTCGGCTGGCGCACTACAACAAGCGCTCCACCATCACCTCGCGGGAGATCCAGACGGCCGTGCGGCTCCTGCTGCCCAAGCACGCTGTCTCTGAGGGTACCAAGGCTGTCACCACGTACACCAGCTCCAAGTCAAATGGATTTAAACTTACATCTAAAGACTCTTTTAAGAGCCACCTATGTTTGCTTGAAATAAACTGTAATCACAAATGAATAGTTTTGTATTTTTGCATACATAACAAAATAAGTGCTTTATTTTAAACTACAGACTTTTAAGTTTCTAGGTTTTCTGATAGCAATTCACAGCTCTTATTATGAGATTTGTGGGTGGCTCTGAAAAG